TTTATATATTTTTCAGATATATAAATTATTATAGTATTATTAGTTAATACTATCTAATATATAAAATATAATTAAAGAACTATAGTATAAATAATTATGAATAAGCTATATTGAAGTATATTGAAAGATATCAAAGAATGTTGAAGAATATTAGAATATGTGAAAGGATATTGAAAGATGTGGAAAGATGTGTAAAAATGTGAAAAGATGTAAAAAGACGTGAAAAGATATGAAAGAATATGAGAGAATGTTGAAAGATATCAAAGAACAAGAAAAGACATTTGAGATCATCCAAGTATAATCATTCCATCAAAATTAAAAATGATCTTTCATTATACTATTTTATTATATACATAAATATCATATTACAAAATAAATAAAATATAAATCCTGAATATTAAATAAAATATAATGTTTAAAAATAGAAATGTAATGATAAATAAAATAATAAATAATATAAAAATAGGAATATTTATAAAATAAATAAAAATTATAATAAAATGTAATTTTTTATAACTAGGAAAAGATTAAGAAATTAAGAAATTTTATGTTACTACAGTAACAATATATAGTATAAATAATTAAATATATAAGAGATATGAAAATAATTATATCTGAAAATTATATATAATATATAAGAGTTATATATATAATATATATAAAATTCTTTATCTTTTTGTTATTTGTCAATTAAATGTATGTATATATATATTTAATATATTACTAATATTAAATAAATATATAACAAGATAAATAATAAAATCAAAAAATATCAATCTTTTAATAATTTCTTGTATTAATTTATTAGTAATAAAAATTTAAAAATATATTTAAGAAAAAGTTAAACTAATACCAAAAAAGAAGATCTACATGGATGGAACTCTGGAAAGACAGATTGTGATCTGAAGTCATATGATCTGTCATTTTTTCTGTTACTACAACTTGAGTCGGCTAGCCGAAGCAAAAATTACGACTCATTTGCGCCGATATTTTGTTATCGGCTTGAAACACTGTTTTATGCATTTATTTTTTATATGGAACCAATTGTGATTGGTCAATTTAAATTACAAGTTTCACAATTACATGTACTTGTTTTAAATTTCTAAATAAATATAACTGCCGCTTTGAGAAAATACTTGAAAAAAATTAATCGGTTAACCGTTTAAAGCTTAACCGGTTATGATCACTTAACGTTAACGTTAATATTTTCACTGAATATATAAAAAAAGATTTAAAATGCACGTAAAGAGATTATCAATGTCCATTAGTCTTAGAAGAGCAAAAGTTTTAGGACTACATGTAATAATAGCGGTGTTAATAAGTTAAATTTATATTAAGGCAAACTCTGAATCCTGCTTAGAGCACAGACCTTTAATTTAAAATCAAATATTTTGTTTACGTATGAAATAATTGACAATGCTTATAAAAATTTCGGTTTAAAGACGAATTCTTACAGAAAAGCCACGCGAAAAAAAGAGTTTCTATAGTTATAAAACACATTAAGGCGTGAAATATATTACCGCATTATGATTCACTATGAAGCGAACCGAGTTTTTGCAAAATAATATAGTTTATTTTATAGATACTTGAGATTTTATACAGACTTCTATGATATTAATATATGTCACTTCCTTATACTATAGACCCAAAAATAGAATTTTGATTCTATATCGATATTTCTATCTATCTTGTAATAAAGCAGTGCGGAAATCACATGCTATAAACATGTATGATAACAAAATTAAATTTTGTAACATTTGTGATTTTTATTATAGTCACTTTCAATTGAAAGCAAGTGAAACTATTCTCGATAAAAGACTTCCATGCGTTCGTTGCGACGGTTTAACATGTTTTTCTTCATATACGAATTTGTTATTTTGACCGAACTCCGCTTGTTCTTTTATTTTTTTCAGAGTTTGGCCGTTTAATGATAGTTTGTACAATTGTTGCTCAAAATTGGCTATGTCATCTGGCGAGATTGGTTGTAGAGAAGGATCGTCGTTCTCGATGGCTTTTTTTATAACCATTATTTTTTCCATATATTCTTTTTTTGTGCTTTTGAGTCCTTCGAGAATTCTATTGTCATAATTGTTGGGGTCAGCGTTCTTCTTCATATTTTCTTCAGTTATGAAATGATCCAAGTAGTCAGCATATGCGTCATTAAAAGGAGCTATTGCGCTTTGTCTTAGGAATTGTGCAAACCGAACATTAATATGGGCTATTGTTTGTTGTTCTTTTTTCAGGTCGTCGATTCTCTTTTGATAAGTTGATATAACCGCTTTCTTTGTCTCTCGAAAAGACCGTTTTTTCTTGATCTCCTTTTCAACATTCTGATCGATGACTCTTACAGTTACGTGTTTGTTTTCATAGGTAATGTGTATATGCTTGGTCCAATTACAGAGGCACTTTTGACAAATTCCATTCGTTATGGCAGAGCAAGTCTGCAAGGCTGCATTGTTAACCATGTCACATGCAACACCTGATAAGTAACACCTTTCATGACAATTCGTTTTATAGTTTATCTTTTTTCTCGATCCAATGGATAGGACTTTGACACAATTATGGCTGGTACATACGGTTCGAGGATATCCTAGCTGCATTGGTTCAAGATCAATCTGTTCAATATATAGCCTATCTTCAAGCTGCCCTATGGTTTGAGTAGAGTTTGCGATCTCCTTTTGTTGGTCTTGGATCTTACTAATGTTCATCTGGATGAGTTGTCCCATCTCTGCAAGAGGTTTAGAAAGAAGTATCACGATATTTCTCGCGTCGTTAAGCGATAAAGTATCTTTTACTTTGTAAGGTGTACGCGTCACAAGATGCTTGAGGAGTCTTAATGATTCTCCCACCGATCTTTCCCAGCTCTTTGCGAAACTTATTTGGTTTTCTTCTGTAAAGGTTATTCCGTTTTTGATTGCTGTTAGAAATCGAACTGACTTGTTATCAAAACAGTATGATGTATCTTTGTTGATTTTTATTTCAACCTTAGATCTTTCCTTGAGATCGGAGAATTGTTTTTTAAGTGGGTTTATTGTATTTCCTGGATGATAAAATGTTGATCTAGTATTGGTAAAGCAGAAGGAAACATTATCCTTGGCATTCCTGTGAAGATGTGACAATAATTCTTGTATGCAAAACCTAAACACTACATTCAATCGTGCGTTATTAGGTTTGAGAAGGAAATAGATTCCATTCAGGTGCTTGTGTTGGCCAATATATTTTAGAATGCTTTCAAAATTTTTCTTGTCTTGGACGATTTCTCTAGTGTCACCGGTTCCAGGAGTATCGATCAATCTTATAGATGTGTTTTCGTCTGCATGGAACACATAGCTTTTGCATCCTTGAGCTGACATGCCTATTGTTTTTGATTGCTCATTTGGATCGTCATTACCGATTTTTATTGTTCTCATGTTGAACTCGTCATCCATTAGTGTGAATTTTGACGTGATCAGTAGTCCGTCCCTATTATGGAAAGTAAACCGAATTTTTCTAACCTGGGGCCGTATTTGAGGAGTTTAGCTTAATTTCTATTATTCTAATTTAGAATTTACTATGCGTGATAAATTTTGTGTAGTATTTTAATTGATGATACCTTTCACGTATTGAATTTAAGATGATTCACGAAAGCGTTTATAAATGTGGATTTGCCTACACCGGTCTCACCGAGCAATAATATTTAATTGCTGAACGGAAGTATGATGGTTTAAATAAACTAAAAGGTTTCACGCCAGTTGCTTTTGTCATGTATGATGGAAACTTCTTGAATAATCATTTGTCATTTGAGCATAAAAGTTGAAAAGCATGTTTCGCCTATAAAAGGAATACTATTTTGATTTCAATTAATGAAAGAAAATCGCACAACTATGTCATTGTTATCATTATCATGAGATAAAACGTTTTCTCAGACCATAAAGTCACGCCATATTAACATTTTGAATGCAGCCAAATCATTGCCTTGAGTTATTGTAGACCTCTGTTTATGTGTAAAAGGCTTTTTTTATCGAGATCTGCGTTTGAATCATTTTTTTTCTTTATTGACATCATATCGATATTTGGTCAAATGGCATAAAAAAAGAACGTTCTAGATCAGATTTGGTTATATACCCTAAAATTTATGAAAAAAATCTTACTATTTCCTGTTTTAGACAATCAACGATTTCTCGTTAGTATAAAAACATTTACCGAGAATTTACTTCGTCATCCCAAGAATATTCGGTCATCGTTATTGATTTTACACGTAGGCGAACAATTATTAATTAAACATATGAGCTTTTTATTTTCATAAATGATATAACGAATAAATAAATATATTTCTTTTGTATCGAATACCAAGAACAACACAAAAAACTGATCATCTATGTCTTTATACATGTTGGTTGGTAAACTTTCTATATCAGGTATTTTATATCCCGTTTGGTCAAATGGCATAAAAGAAGAACGTTCTAGATCAGGTTTGGTTAGACAATACTAACTTTAAGAAAATCTAACCATTCCTGCTTTAGAGCGTGATATTCATAGGACTTTTATGTGATTGGCTGATCCGAATAAATTACTTTGGTACGTTTCACTAATGAAAAATAAAAAGAAAATTTAATGTTGTCTTATTAATATTCACTATGCAAAAGAATCTCAAAAGAATTCAAAACCTTGTAACACTTTACTTAAAAGACAAAAATGTCATCATCTACTACTATTACTGGATCATGTGTGATTACTATATATCAGAAATAGTCAACTCATTGGAAAAAGATAACTGAGCATGTTCTTATTAAAGGTCAAGCTAACAATACATTATCAAGTTATGTAGAAGAACATTATTAAGTTATGTAGAAGAAGGTAATATAATTTATTTAAATTGCTATAATGAAATTGTAACAAGAAGTTCCCTTGAATTTCAAGAACATGCTCAAGCTAATATAAAGTGACATAAGCTTAATGAAATTAATAAAATAGAAAGTACTAATTCTGTTTTATCTTTTCTAAATCAATAGAAATAATAACGAATATTACCATTTATCCCAAGAATATAATTTATTAAAAAATCTATTATACTGTTAACTTTTGGTATGAAAGTTTCTCTAATTGCAATCTAAACCCGTGATTCCTCCGACGTGACCTGCAGGTAATCGGTTCGCACTACCTGGACCTAATACGGAAACTACAGTAATAACGAAAAATTAAAAAATAAATAATAAAATAAATAAAACATAAAACTTACCTATTTATTTATTTACTTTGTTTGTTACAATAATCAAAGCAATATCGTTATTTCCAAATTTGTAAATTTGTACATACTTTTGTACACGCTTTGGTCCACTCTTTGTACACTAAGTTGTATAGTGTGTTTTTCACCATTTTGATCGCTGCAAAAAGTAGAATAGTTCATTAGTATAGCCTGAACATGTATCCAACTAAAATGTATAAAAATAGGCGCTCTCGAGCCTTTTAATCAAGACAAGTTATACTAAAAAGAACAAAGTAATTAGAGAGAGAATTACCTTTTGTTGCTTGCATTATTAAACTTCGGGTTTTGTCGTCGCTGTTATCCCATTGTTGCGTGAATTCCTTTGTGAAAATAGTCTAGTCGTAAAGAGACTTCGATTCGTGACTCTGCGAGAATAGTCCGTAACCCTTAAAAACAGTCTATAGTTAACAATCAACTGCAATTATTCATGTAATCCACCTTCCCTCTCCCAAATCAATCGATATAATCAATAAACTTTACCTTTGCCACCTCAGTAATTGTAGTTACTCGCACATAAACCTTTAAGAACGCTGCAAAGAAGTCCTCGAGAACCAAACCAACCGCCTAAACGCTCCCACAAACCTGTTAAGCCTGTCTTCTTTGAAATTTAATATCCCTCGATGATTGTATTTAATATTCGCTTGTTCATTTTGCGCTTTCATTTTAATGTAATAATTTGCTCTGACTATTCTTCGTTTAGTTTATTAGTCCATTGTTTCTATTTCAATTATCTAAATTATTATTTGTTGTTTAAATTTATTTAATTTATTTAATAAGACTTGCACCAACGTTACGAAATTCGAGAAACTCATATCTTTTCGAAGTTTAAATTCTACGCAATAAATAAATTGCATTATATCTAAATTTCTTTATGAAAGTTTATATCATTTCACAACATGAATTGTTTGTTCAGGTTTGCAAGAGTTTTAGCTTTCTTTATCATTGTTTGTGTTATGACATTTAATTCTCGACGCAATTCTCTGACCTGTTTCTTCATGTTCAAGATATTTTGAACATGAGCTATTATTTGATCATCATATACACTTTTTGCGGATATTTTCAAGAAAGGTTAAACCGCTAGCTTTTCTCGTATATTCTTTTTTGCTGCACGAAATGGTGTTAATTTATTACACTTGATGCATACTTTATTTTTTACATTATATATTATTTAAAAAAAGAATATTCTCGTTTAACACGTATTCAAAAATATGTTACAGTTATTTTTAAAAAGAATAGTTTTCGTTTGATGTATATTTAAAAATCTTTCGTTAATATTTAAAATTACATGTTATTCTAAAAAAATCCCGTCGGTTGGCATGTGCACATTGTATTATATGTTATTCAGAACAAATCTTTCCATCTTAAATTCGAAAAGTTAAAAAAGAATTCGTTTCGAATCCTGTGACAATTATTGGTTGTATGATGATTTAATATTTTAATATACAATTCAATCCCCAAACAATACATCCGGCTTCCTAGACAACATCTCGGTACTTAATGAAGCACCGCACGATAAGTTTTATCAATTGATGGGCGATCTAACGATTTGTGCTGCTTCTTGAGGAGATGCTGTAAATTAATTATTGAGCTTGGATATAGTAGTGAATGTATATTCCTTTTATTCGCGAAGAATAGATTTTACTTATGTGTGTAATTAGGATAGGATTTTGTGATTATCACAGGCTATTTTCTCTAATATTTTCGAAGAGATGCTTGATGGGTTTTGACTTTTAAACTGAATTCTTTTGCTGTCTCTTTGGCGTATTAGTGTATGAATGTAAGTGCTTTCACAATCCCGTCTGTATGTGGTCATCGTGGTTTATCAGAGTTACCGATTTTTATTCAATATAAAGAGTAGTAAGTGTGTTTATTACATTTACTTAAATCAGCAAATCATAGAGCGTTAACAAATTCCTAACGTTAACTCTAAACTAATCCGAAATTTTGCTGTATGCGCTTTGATTTTAAAGGGATATTATTTGTTTGATGATTTTGCTACTTGTCAAGCTATTTATAAAGTAAGCTATGAATAATGCGCTTGACTTTACGATTAAATTCATTATTAATGTTAAACCTGACCCAGTAACTTTCTGTTCGTCATATTGATATGGTTAATAAATAATTGCATAGGTACTGTTTCGAGTTGATGATCACAGTTTCTGTAATATCAATGAATATGGGTAAATATCAATGGCAGCAAATTACAAAGTAAATTTTGATAAATATAATGTGTTAAGGAATTTAAATTTTTGCGGAGAACTTATCATATTATAGTGCTAGTTATAGTATTAATAATAACTTAATTAAAAATTTGACAAAGAGCTTTATTCTAGAGTTATTCAAAGTATGTTATTTGGTTAGGATATGATAATAGAAAATACATTGAATATGAGTAATGATTTTGGTTTGTTTGATTATTTATTTCCCGCCTAAAATCTTATTCTTATCTGAGTATTATTCTCGTTATGTTCAAATGTTATTACACACATATCATTGAACAATTGAACAATTATTCTTAAAAATTAAGCTTTATACCTCACATTGAAGTACAAACTACACGATGAAGGAACCATGCGTATAATGCTTGCAATTTACAGTAATACCGCATATGAGTCAACATAAAATAATTTTCTTAAGAATAATGCTATTTGTTTGAATAGAAATTTCTTATATAAATATAATCGTTGATTTGAGTGAAAAAATGATCGTGTTAATAAATTAATAAATGAATGAATAAAAGAATGAGTATAAGAAAGAATAATAAATATCACTCAAAAACAGTTGAATTTTTGGCGGTTCTCTCATTATTTATTATTTTAGGGACGATGATTAAGAGTTTACGTTTTAATTCTATTTGATTTAATCATTTTGAAAGTTTTGAAGCCTGGACAATTGAAATCAAAGACTCATAGTCGATACATAAAAAAAATCTATCAATCTGTTGGATCTTATTCTCAAATTTTAAAGGATATTCGTCGAATCAAAAAGATTAATAAGGAGGACTAAAGTGAACAATGCGTTTTAAAATTATTTATCGTAATGTAAAATATAAGATGCGTAATGAGCGTATAGTCCTGAGTAGTCAATATGGGAAATCGCTATGCCATCAACGTTTTGTTTATTAAATTAAGTATACCGTAAAACCGCGAAATAACGAGCATGGGCATTATTTCGAAAATTACA